ATTATAAATTAAGCTGTAAATTATAACAGTAACTTACGCTATTTTAAACTCCGCCAAACAAGAAAATCATAAGATAACATTTAAATATGAGATTTAGTATGTTAAAAGATAACAATTACGTGCTAAAGAGACAATTTTATACTAACGCAACCCCCTCCCTCCATTACCACAAATCGACGAGAGAGAGAGAGGGGGGGAGCAAAAAACATTTTTTCCCGATTAGATTTTTTTGAGTTAATTCGAGCCTTAGTTTAGTCTTAGTTTAATTTCTAATAAAATGTCTATTCAACCTTATCAATTTGAACCAAAAAAATATAGCAAAATTAACATAAGTATTAATTTAACTAAAACATTTTATAATAATAATATTTTTTTTATCAAGCGAAAATGAGAATAACCGTCACTTTTGAAACCATAAAAATGACCATGAAATATTTTAAATAAACTTTTATGCGCCTACATCAATACTCATTTGTAATAACTACGCTAGGAAATATTTTAAATAAACTTTCATGCGTCTACATCAATATTCATCTGCGGTGCTCTGTGATAAGACCGTAAGGACTTCTTGGGGCACCTAAAATCAACATTAAAAAAAAAAAAAAAATTTGTTAAAAACTGACTAAAAAGAATTGAAAATTTGACTTCTATTCATTTTTGGCAGTGGAATTGCCCTTATAACACAAATATATAAATAAAAATTATTAAAAAAAATTTAATATACAAATATATTTTCACAAAATGCTACAAAACTTATTTTTGTAAGTAATTATGTGTTAGTTGAAAAAAAACTTTTAAATTTAATTACCAACTAATACGTTTGCAATATTGACATTTTGTCTACTTTGTTTTATTTGGCGTACAAACATTAGTTTTTTGAGGCAAAGAGTCAATAAACTTTGGACAAGACGCATTTTTTTTAACCGAGAAAAAAGGTTTTTTTGAAAATTAAATTTGTTAGTGTGTGTTCATTATTACGTTTTAGAAAAAATAATATACATCAAACATTTTTTTTTATGTGCTTTCATATGAGATCATATCTTTATAGCACTTAGGGATCCCTTTAACTATTTAAAATGTTTACAATTTAAATAAAACTTTCTTCCCACTTGCACTATCTTCTAAATCTTAATATTGCTTTCAATAAATTCGATAAAAATTTCAATAAAAGTATTGTTTCTGTAGCTAGATCTATGTTTGATTTTAAGGAGTGATCCTCGCTTTGCCACTGTTGTTATTAAAAATATAATTATTGTCAATGAACATTACAATTTTTTCTGTTTAATTTCAAATGTTATTTTCAAAATTATTTAAATTAGAGAACTTTAGATAACTAAAATTCTCTTGCTCAAATAAATTTCTTTTTAAAAAAATTCTTAAAAAATAACTTGCGTATTTATAGAAAATGTTTAATCTTGATATCGTTTCAAATAAAATGAAAATATATAAAAAAAAAATTGTGTTGTATTTTTTATATTTTATTAAAAAATTTTTGTTAAAATAATTTTTAGTTAGAAGCTTATTATGTGTTAACAACATATAAGATTTAAAAAGAAATATTTATATTTACATTTATACACTTTTGCAAGTCTTTGAGTACACTACATTAAGTATAAGAACTGAATATCAGGTAAAAATAATAGTTGGATAACTTAACTGTAGTAACTTAACAGGTTGTTTTGATTTAGCTTTTAAGTAAATTTACCGTGATGTATGTGATGTACTTTACTGTGATGTACGTGATGTACGTTTACCGTGATGTACGTATAACCATTAAGTTAAATCTAAATAACTAAAATAACTTTAAAATAGAAAGTAAATTTTAGGCCACGCAAAAATCAAAGTAATTTAGATTCAAAAGTGCTTTATGTTGAATGGCAATCTCCAGTGAAAAGCAATAACTTATTAAAGTTTTTTTTTAAAGTATAAATAAATATATATATATATATATATATATATATATATATATATATATATATATATATATATATATATATATATATGTGTGTGTGTGTGTATAAATATATACATAAATATGTATATACTTTTGTATGTGTGCGAGTGTACTTAACATTGGTAGAAACACATCATATGTGTGTATATATATATATATATATATATATATATATATATATATATATATATATATATATATATATATATTTAAATTCATATGTATGTGTATATATATATATATATATATATATATATATATATATATATATTTAAATTCATATGTATGTGTGTATATATATATGTGTGTGTTAGGGCCCTGCATATTGGCTTTTTTTTTTTTCGAATCGAATATCCATTCAAAGCAAGTCTTGATTCACAATTTAAAACAGGAATCAAATCAACATTTTGAGGAAATCTTAACTTAAGAATTTTTTTTATAATTTATTTCAATAAAAAATTTCATAGGGACTTAGTCTTCACATTCCGTTTGTTCTTTTATTTTCATATTCCGCCTGTCAATTTTCTTGGAATGGCTTGAAATTATTTAAAGACACTCAAAAACAAAGACATTTGCATTGTGTTTCCCTAAAATAACTTAAAGTAAACAGTAAAAAAAAAATAAGACATCCTTACTTAATAGGATAAAAAAAAGTTAAAATAAAATATCTTTATTTTTTGCGCCCAAATCAAGGTTTCAGCATTATTATTAGATAGAGGATGACATGAATAGCTTATTACATTTCCACCAGTTGAGTTGACTCATTCAGAAGAACAACGCAATTTTTAATGTGTCTTTTTGAAGAATTTAGTTGCAAAAGTTTATGTTTTCAGATTCTTTTTCCTTAACTTGTTTAAATACATTGTCAAGTAAATTTTTAGATAAGTTTTCAACTTTTTCTTTATTGATAGAATTTATGCAAGGAGTAGTTTTGCATGATTTAAAATCAACATAACTTTCAATTAGATGGTTTTTCACAATTGAAAACTCGTTTTCGGTGTGAATTGCAGCTTTAAATCTAGGGTCTAAATATGTATATGTATAAATATAAGGAGTGTAATATTTTCTAAATTAAAGCCTGCATGTATTAGTGAAAGTAACTCCTTTTTAAAGCTGCCCATAAAGCTACAATTCAATAAATCTAATTGAACTTTTAAAGTATAAATGCAAGGTTTAACTAAACTGATATCCACTGTAGTATCAGAACTAAGTAGCGTTGTTGCATCCAAAATTGGTTTTTAAAATGGAATACATTTTTTCTTTCATTATCATCGCTAAAACTTGAGAAGGAAATTTTGCGCATCTACCACTTAAAGTGCATTCTGTAAGAGCCATTGTAATTGCAGTACAATTTTTACATGACCAATTCAGAAGTTTAAATGTATTGTTAAACCTAGTAACAATATCAAGTGATGGACATGATTCTGTAAGTCCTTTTTCAAGTTGATATTTATTTAAACATTTTAGACCTACAGAAAAACTGCTAAAAAAACCTGCAATTTTGTGTCCCAACAAATAAGGTTTTTAAATTGTTGTTGAAATTTAAAGCACTCTTAACGCATAGTTGAAGAACATATGCAGCACATGGCTTCCTAAAAGACTAGCAGTGGCAGGCATTGCGTTTGTCATGTCTGCAGTTGCACATAGAACATTGTCTATTTCAATATTTGAACTTTGCAGTTGATTAATAATAACCTCTTTTGTTTTTTGAGAAGTATGATCTGCATTAATACCTTCAAGATTTACCACAGATAAACAACGCAATTTTAGTTTCCATTCTGTTAGGGATATATAACGAACCATTAAAACTAAAAAGTTGCTATTATTTGCAGCTTTCCAATGATCAAAGGTAATGGAAGGTTTACAACCAGACATTTCTGTAAGTATTACTGTTTTAAATTTACTTTCTAATATTATTATTAAGTCATTTATCTTACGTGAAAACGGAGATGGATGGGGAGGTTTACAATTTTTATTAGTAAAATTCAAACACAATTTTATAAAACCCTTATCAGCTGAAGTCTTAAAAGAACGTCCATCTGCAACAATAAATTCCAATACAGCTTGGTCACTTGTTTGCCCTGCTTCAGCTTGAGTATGAAGTGTTTTGTGTTTTCTTTCCAAGTGATCCCAGAGATGTGATGTTGTGCCAGTGTTTTGTACATGTAAAGTGGTTTTGCACGTTTTACATAAATAAAACTGATCTTTTAATTTAAAGTACGACTTAATAACTCCTACCATTGTATAAATTGAAGTATAGTAATTTGAAAGAGTTAGTGAAATGAAAAGAGTATATAAAATCAAAAATCAATTTTGAAAATAACGTTTCTTTATTTAATTGTTTTACAAGTAATGCTAGTTTTTTTATTTAATTGACTTCAAGTGTAACGCTAAGTTTTTATTTTAAATAGAAGTAGAAGATTGTTGGTTCTCTTGCACTGATTATTTTAAAGTAATATAGCGCTTTATGTCAATGGAAATTTTCGTGCGTTAGAGATCAAAAGATCCTACCTTTATTTTAAAATTATTTATAATGTTACATACTTTATGGAAAAACCCTTAAAAACAAATTAACTATAAAAAAAGCTTTTTTCTTATAGCAACTGATAGAACTGCTTAATAAAAAAAGACCTTAATGGTTAGCAACCACTAATTTTGAAAGTATATTTAAAATTTTTGATTCGAAAACATGCAGATTATCGAATCGAATTTCGAATTACTTTTTTGATTCGATTTGAAATTTTGAAGTTTCACAGGGCTTATATTTATACATATACATACTTAGACCTAGACGACAAGAGGGAAAGGGGAAGAACAAAAGGGACAGTTTGTCTCAGGTGGCAGATATCTAAAGGGAGCCAAATAAAAAGAAGGTAACTAAAAAAAAAGAAGGTCCCTTATCTATCTAATCATCTAATAAAGAGCAATTTTGATAAATAAGGGCGCCAATCAGGGTTGCTGTCAACTCTCGGCAGCCCTGTGTATATATATATACATTTAACCTTACTATGCGACAGCATAGTAAGGTTAAACTAAAATATGTTACCTGGTATAACATTTATTCCACAATCAATAACAATGGCTCCTTGTTTAATCCAACTCCCCTTAATCATTTCAGCTTGTCCACAAGCAGCAATAACAATATCCCCAAGAGAAATCTATAAGAAAAAATTATTTTTCAAAAATCCAAGTTAAGTTTAAGTTTCTATATTAAGTAATTAATTTCTATAACTAAATTGTCAAAAACTAATTTTTTTAAAAAATATAATTGTTTTAGTGTAGATAATAATGAATTGTGGCACATCTATGCTGAACATACTTGGTGTATGTGGTTGACTATTCATGTTTTTGCTTTTCTGGTAAGAAGGTTCTTGAAAGTATTTGTTGATGATGTGCTTACAGCTTCAGATGGTAAAAGATTTTAATCATTTACGACATGGTTGGCAAAATAATTGAATCGTTCAGCACAGTTTGACACATTTTATTTTTCCAGGCTTCCAGGTTGTGCCACGTAGATCATAGTGTAAACTAGCAGGCGCTGTTATATGTGGAGTGAAGAAGTCATCTTTTACGAAACCATGTATTACTTTATACTGTTGTATAAGATCATCATCTTTATCTGTTGTATAAGTTTCCTTTTGGTTTTCAGAGTGGTTAGTCCAAGAATGTTGATTCTTTCTTTGTAAGAAAGATCTTTAAGCTCAGTAATTACTTTAGTTGCCCTGCACTGGATTTTTTAGAGTCTTTTAATATCCTGTTTGAGATAGGGTGACGCTTGAATAGCAAATTCTAAGTGTTTTCTAACATAAGTAGTATAGAGCACTTTTCAAAAGCTGCATACCTCTTCTTCTTAAACAATTTTTTGAGCTTTCTGAGCCAAATCAACCTGTTGTTTGACTTTGAGGTTGTCTGAAACAAGTACACCAAGATTTGTTGATGTCATATTGCAAGAAAGCAGCATCTTTACGTTATTTAATAACTCCCATAACTTTACAATAATCAGAATAGTGATATTATCAGGGAAATCGTTAATAAAAAGGGCAAACAGTAGTTGGTCAAGAACTGAACTTTGTGGTACCCTGTTTGTAACCATTCTGATTCATGGCAATCAATTACTACTCACTGTCATTTATTGGTGAGCCATTATTCAATCCAATTAATTAATGACCCACCAATGCATTTATGCAGGAGTTGGCAGTGTGATACCTTCTTATCAAAGGCTTTACTAAAGTCAGTATAAATTACGCCAATAGCATTACCTTGATGAACACCTTCAGTTAAGATATCTCTTGCTTCTACCAGACTCGTGGCGCAGCCTCTTTTTTGTTCATGAAACCATGTTGCTCTTTAGCTCTTTGTTTTTATTGCAGAATTTTATAATTTAATTGTGAAACAGGATGGTGGTTGGATATTTTTGTTCCGAACCCTTTCAATAGACGTAACGCTTGATCTTCTACTGGTCTAGAACAATGCTTTCTTTAAGCGATTTACAGTAAACTAATTTAATAGGTGTAGTGAAGGCATTGCTTATAATTTTAGGATTTTCAGATGAAACCTATCAAAACTCATTGATTTGGATTCTTTAAGGCTCCCCAGTCTGAGTTTAGTATCAGTGAATTCAATATCATAATCATTTATGACTACGATATCGAATTCACTGAGATTGAAAGTCAGTTCTTTTTTTTTACTCTGGTAGTTTTTTATTTGTGAGTTCTAAAGCAAACACAGATTGAAAGTAATTGTTAAGAACTTGGTAATAACATTTTGTGTGTAGTTATATATATATATATATATATATATATATATATATATATATATATATATATATATATATATATATATATATATATATATATATATATATATATATATATATATATATTTTAATGTAAATTCACCTCCCCATGGCTGAAAAGGCCACTAAAGATGAGGAGGCTACTTAATTGGGGTTATAACCCCCTCTCAACTCTACAACTCCGAAACACAAACCTTGACGAACAAGGCCACTGCACAGAGAAACAAGTTAAGAAACAATATATATATACACATATATATATCAAGCCTTTCCAGGAAGCGGGTGCGGTTGCATGCCTTGTTTGCCCAGGTATAAAGAAATTTTTAATACAACTTGATCACATTTTGATACAATAAGCATTTTTTGAATTCACAGCAAAATAAAGCTACAAGAAACTAGAGAATAAAACAGCAATACTGGAAGAAAAGAATTAAAGACTATACGAAATAGAAAATCTAAATAAAATAAGCTAAAAAAAATTAAATATTAAAAAAAGAAAATAGTTGTCAAAAAAATAATATACCTAAATATTTTACTCTTTTTGTTAAGATAAAAATATAACAAAAATAAAAATATTTTTTGATATATATTTTTTCATAACTTTTTTAAATCAGTATATTAAGGAAATACTTTATAACTTGCACTAGAAACACGGACAATTTATATTTAACTGCATTTATATTTAACTGCCTCTCTTACTTGTGGAGTAGTCAAAGGTTCATTAACATCAGCTTCAAGGTTCAGTGTAAAGTCATGTGGATGGAATAAAACATTTAATGGCTTCATTAAACTTGTTTACATAGCAGTCTTCAGACGACAAATCTTTGGATGTTGGATGACCAGTCGAATGCTCAGATGTAGTTGGATGACCAGTCGAATGCTCAGATGTAGTTTGATATTGCATTGTAGTTGGCTTTGTGATAAAGTTGTCTGCGGGATTGCTATAACCAAAGCAACCTTTGATAAGGCATTGTGCGCAACCTTGTCCTGTGTTACCAAAAGCTTCATCAGGTTTCAGTTAGAGGATTCAATCGAGTTCATCAGTGATGGTTACGCCTAACGTGTTTGCAGGTGAATCAGCTCTCGTCTTTCTAAATGTAGGAAAGGTGACAACTTGAGTTAATGCGATTCTTCTAAACAAAGGTGAAATTTCTCATCTGTTTGATGAGATCACCTTTGTCTATTTCTTCGTATTTAAAATGGTTCAAATTAAAATCTCCATACATTAATATTAAAATAAATATAAGTAAGGAAAGATTTTGTTTTGCAGATGTAATGAATTTTGTTTAATAATGTGTCGTCGTGGTCATGAGGTTTTTACATGCAGCCTAGAAGAATTAATTTGGAACCGCATTTTATGAAGTTCCATACTTCCTCAAATTCATTGGAGTTAGGTTGTTTGATATTAGTTTCAGCTGTGGCAATACCACTTTTTATATATATGGTTACTAGCGTTTTAAAAACAATTTTTTTTGAAAATGACTGCTGGGACCCCCTGAATATGTTGTAAGTAATAAAAAAATATTGGATTTAAAAAATTTCTAAATAAAAAAAATTTTAAGAAATTGCTCCCAATCCTTGAACATTAAATAGGCGCCAATATTATAAAAAAGAAGTTTTTGAAAAGTAGGTCATGTTGGGTCTCAAACGAAGCAAAATTATATAAATTTCAAAACTTGCTAAATTCCTTAATTTTTTTTTTTAGTCAAAAAAAAAAGTAATTTTCTGTTCACTCAAATCTAAGCTTGAGACCCAACATGACATACTTTTGAAAAACCTTTTTTTTTTAATAATATTGAGCATAATCGCCACAATATTTTTCAGGATTTTTACTTTTCTACTAACGTTTTATGATTTTTGATTTTTATGTTTTTCTAATTTTTAAACATAAGGATATACTAAGGATCTTACATATCCAAGATATTTATTTACAAATACACCCTTCATTTTCTATTAACAATAAAACAAACCTAGGCAAAATTTTCCTTAATTTAATCAATAATTCTCAAAAAATCATAGGTTCCATAAACTGTTTAACCGAAACAACCTAAAAGTTAGCTATAGCTGTCTTCCAAATATTTGCAACATCATCACTTCACACAACAATAAAATATCAGATTCTTCTAACCTTAGTCTTCCACCTTGTAATTGCTGGTAGATTCATTTGTGTCCACTTAATGAAAAGTTTTTAAGTAAAAATATCATTTATATATGCAATGTGAAAACAAACCCACAAAATAAAGACATCTATAACATTGGACTTACATAAAAACACTTAAAGATTGTTTTTACAAACATAAAAATTCTTTTCTTTATGAAATTAAAGCTAATTTCACCGAGCTTTCTAAATTTTTGTAGCTTAAAGCTTTCTAAATCCTGTCCGTTTGTGGAAAATATTAAATCAGGATGAACCGTTTAAACCTGGTGGCAAATTGTGTAATTTATGCTTGATAAAGAAATACCATATAATTTCATCACCATTGACTTTGTTAAACCAAATAAACTTTCATCTAAGTTTCGTCTTGAAAATAAGTTTATGATCAATAACTTTAATGCCATCAAAGAGGACATTCCACAGTATTTTTAACATATATGTATATATATATTTTTATATATTTTATATATGCAATGTATCAATGATTTATTGTGTACTTCTTATTGATACTTTAGGCAAGCAAGAATCAATCTGCCTTTTTTTAATTTATATTTTTCTTAAAAAATATTTTGAAGATTTGTTAATAAAGCAAAAAATTTTGAAGTATATGTTTTGTGTATACTTGCGTATGCATCACTTATATTGATGTACTCCATATGTGTCTATGAATGCTTTATATATGCTCATGTATACATATGTATGCTTTTTAGCAAAATTTTAGATTAAAGTTAATTTAAACTTTAAAATAAATAATCAAAAATGTCATGATTAACTTTTGCATAAACATTAACTTAAAATATCTTATTAAGGTTGCAAGCAACCAATAGTAGGTTGGGAGTTATTAGAAAAAAAAGAATAGAGTTAGAGAGCAAGGTAACGGTTGACAGAAAACTTGAAAAGTTGTAGGTTGTAAGTCAGGATAAAATGAAGATGGGAGAGAGTTTCAAAGGGTTGAAGGGCAGGAAAAAACTAGACAAAAGTTTTTAGAGCATGTAAGGACAGATGCACTGTGACTTTGCTGAATGACAAGTCAAGCAAAAAGAAGTTTTGGTTGATGGAAATAGAGATAATAACTTTTTTTGATCAGCGAAGATTTAGTATTTGCAGAAAGAGTTTAAAATGCATTTTTATATCTTGTCTAGAAGAGAAAAAGCATCATTAGAAAAACCAGCTCAAATATGATAACAGTTTTCCATATAGGGACAAACAAGAGATTTGTAGAGGTAGAGAATGGAATCAGGAGTAAAATGAGCACAATAAAGAGAAACAACCTTAGTGGATTCTAACATAGCGAATTATAATCCAAGAAGATGTAAAGCAGAGAACTCAATAAGAGGGTTTCCATTCATTTTTATAGGAATAACGACAATACAGTGATAGTTGTTTGCAGTAAATAACTTTGAGTTTTGTTAGAGTTAAAACTCACAAGCCACTGCAAGAACAAGCTGTTACATCAGATTCAAGACTGGCTTCATGCTCTAAGCAATTGAAAAAAGAAGACTTTTTGCCAATAAAGGAATATAAATATGAGTTGTCAACAAATAGAGCCACTTTGATTGTGAGAATGTCATGAAGATCATAAATGTAGATAAAAAACATTACAGGACATAGAATACAAATAAGCTATTACTTAATATATTTACAAATAATTTTCAGTTTGTTAAAAAAAAATACTTTATTGATTTATTAAAAAGAAATTTGCAAAAGTGACTTCTTGAAGTGAAAGAAACTTGCAAAAGTAACTTCTGTAAATAATTTTTTGTTTATTTTTTATTAATTTAAGAGAAAGATTTAAATTTAAAAAAGTCATATTTTTATATGGCATTTTAAAAAAATAATACAAAAGTTTAAATGATGAATAGCAATAATTTATTTTACTGCTTTTACCAATGCAAATTTAAAAACAAATGCCTTTTTAATTATATAAAAAAATACCATTTTATCAAGGTCTTTTGTTCGAGAATGACATATTGTAACTGTAGCATTTGCCCATGTTAACAGGTTAGCCATGGGGGAACCCTGAATAATAAAAAAAAACTTAAATTTTAAAATAAACTTTAAAATAAAAAGAAATTGAAATTTACTTTTATTTTATAACTCCCTCAAAGAAATTTCTGAACACTACTACCATTTAACTAACTTCTATGTTAAATGTTAAATGTTAAATTCTATTGATTAAAAAACAAAAACACTACCAATAGTTTGCTTCTTCCAACCACAACAGCATGTTTCCCTTCAATTTCAACACCGGTATGTTTTAAAAGCTCCATACAACCATGAGGAGTGCAAGGATGAAAACAACTTTTTAACTCTCCTCGTGATAAGCGTCCAGCATTTACTTCATTAAGCCTATAAATGAAAAGGGAAAAAAAAAATTATAAAAAAATATTATCATAAATTTTAATTAATGTATAAATATATTATGCATGCATGAATGCATGTTAAATTACTAATCATTAAAAAGAAATTATAAGAATGATTAAACTTAACACAAACTAGACCCACAGATGAAAATGACAGAATAATTAATACAGTTTTTTAATAAATATACTTATTAATAATACAATTATTAATAATAATATAATTATTAACAATAATATAATTATTAATAATAATATAATTATAATAATAATGTAATTATAATAATAATACAATTATAATAATAATATAATTTTTAATAATAATATAATTATTGATAATAATATAATTAATAATAAATTTTTTTTAACAAAACAACTGCAAATAATTACTTATAAAAGGAAACAATATGACAATATGAACTCTACTAGAACTGGTGAAAAATAAAAAACAATTTAAAATTAAGTAAAAAAAGAAAAAAGCAATTAAATAAAAAAAATTAAAAAACATAAAATCTTGTATATATTTTCTAGGATTACTAACTCTCATATTTTATTGAATGGTCCATTATTATAATAAGACTTATATATAGAAATATTAAGACTAAAAAAATTGTCAAACTTTAATTTCAAGTTATAGAAAAATGACAGAATCTCTGAACTCTAATAAATTTTTATAGATAAAATTTTAGTAATATATAAACTTTAATAAAGTTACCCATCAACATCTTTACTTGGAAGAACAGCATTTGTACATTTTGCTGAATCTATCTTTTCGAAACAATCTAATGGAAGCTGTACAATTATACCATGAACAGAGGGATCTTTGTTCAAATTATCTATACTTTGCAAAACCTCAAGCTCCGTCACATTTTTGTCAAACTTAACATGATTAACACAAAATCCAAGCTAAGAGTTTAAAGATGTATATAAACCGTTTTACATATAAATATATATATATATATATATATATATATATATATATATATATATATATATATATATATATATATATATATATATATATATATATATATATATATAGTGTGTTTAGCTAAGCAATATGATATCATAGTGAATTAGGTAGTTGTGAGTGCTTCAATGCATACATCGACTAACTAGGTAGAACATGCAAGAGAGTCTTGTTAAATTGGGGCAGCAACTCTTTTTTTCATCTTTTTTCAAAAAAAAAAAAAAAAAAAAAAAAAAAACGTATGGATTTTAGTTATTAAATCAATTTTTTAAAACCCAGTTTAAAAAATATTGGAATTCCACAAATTCACTTTAATTTCCTTTTATGTTTCCAAAAACTTCTGAGTGTTTTTAGCTCATAATTTGTAGAAAAATTAATAAATTTTTCACAAACCAATAGCAAAATACTCTCGGAAAAATTCGGAAAAGTTAAAGGATTTCATTTCTTATTTTAAAATTACGATCAAACAGATGATGTTGAAATTCTCCTTTAGTGCCTTAGCTAATATCTTCATAAGTGCTTAAAAAGAGTTAATCTTCTCTTTTTTATAAACAGTATGTAAATGAATTGCTACATTCAATTCTGAATAAAAAGCTTTTGAAATTTTTAATTGCTTTTAATGCACACAGTATAAAAATTTCTGTTGGAAAAAGAATAAGAAAACTAAAATGCCTTTTTAGATGTACTTATCAAAATATCTAATACCATTTTTAACATCAGTTTATCAAAAAAAAAAACTTTAAAAGGTATGTTTTGCTACAAATTCAGTCTACTATGTTGTTTGATTGATTAAACATATACAATTAACAATACCTGGCTGGGATTCAATAAAAACAAAATAAATGAATATAGAATCTTTCTTTTGTTTTACGAAATTTCCCCAAAAATTTATTGACTTCGAAGATAAATAATACATTGTAATAAAATGAATCTGTTTTGAACTCTGTTAATAACTCAAATATAAGATATTTAAAATTTAAATTTAAAGCTTCTATTAACAGGAACTGACTGTTGATTATTAAAAAATTGCTTATAAAAAAAAATTGCTCATAAAAAAAAGATTTTCTAATAAAGTTAGAGTTAAAATAAAATATTTATTGTTTAAAGATCCTTTTCTTATGCTGTTCCATGTTGTATACAAATTTTCTTGAACTTGCTATAATGCCAGTTATTTTGGGGAAACGTTCAGACAGTTAGACAGCTAGAACTTTTTTTCATTACGCCAGATTTCTTTCTACAATAAATTTTACAACAATTTTTTTAAATGTTTTTTCAAATGTTTTTGTTTACATCTTTGATCTGTATTTAATAGCTGATTGTCGCAAAAACACAAAACTTCAGGTAATATTAATTATTAAACATATTAAATATATATTAAAAATATGTTTTTTATTAAAACAAAATTTTGCTTGTTATTTATCAGAGCATACTTTTTTACGTGAATTAAATATTGCTCTGTTATTGTGATATCAAGCACTGTTTTACGTAGTTAGTGGGTTTTCTCCTTTAAATGAAAATTCTTACTAAAACAGAGATTGAATCTCTTGATGCTGGGTTGCATTGGTATTAAGTTTTTCTCTTTTAATTGCCATAACTCCTTTATTCTATACCTAATTAAATTAAAAGATTTCAAATTATTTGCATATTGAAGCTTTAAAAGCAGTTCATTGACTCCATAGTATACTTTTTCTTTTGCTTTTTTTATAAATATCTTCACTTCCAATAAAGCTGCAAGCGACCACTATTAGAGATGGAAGTTACTAAAAGAGAAAAGATGAAATTTATAAAGCAAGACAACAATTAAAAGACAACTTAAAACAAGGCAAATTGTATGAATCAAGAAGACAAGATAAAGGGAGCAAACTCCAAAGAATTATTTTAGCATTTAAGAACAGTCACAGTAAAAAGATAAGATTTAATTGAATGACAAGCAACATGAGAATGAATTGTAGCAGAAGGCACAAGAGTAAGATGGCGTAAGAGATGTTAGCACGTTAGAGCAATGCCCATTGTATTTATAGAAAAGAGAAAGATAAGCAATATTAGGACAATGTGACAATGGTTGAAGATTGGCTGCACGAGCAGACCCAACTATGTTTACAATGCATTTTCACACCTTGTCTAAAAGAGAAAGAACATCAATCCAAGATCGGCTCCAGATATGGCAACAGTATTCCATATAAGGGCGGATTAAAGATTTATAAAAATAAAGAATAGAATTCGAAGTAAAAATGTGGCCAGCACGGTAAAAACATGCAACCTTAGCAAATGCTAAAGAAGAGTTAATCCTAGAAAAAGAAAGGTAGATGACCCATCAAGTACATTACCATTCATTAATATAGGAAGATCTGGATGATTGCGATAAAAATTAGCGAAAAAAATTGAGTTTTATCTGAGTTAAACTTCATCAGCCACTGAGAGCCCCATGCTGTAGCAGAAGTGAGATTCTTTTCAAGCTCAAATGCCTCTTCAAAGCAATCAGAGATGGTTGGCTTCTTATCAAGATAAGAATAATGATAGTATCATCAGCAAACAGTACCACCTTAGATGTGAGAATTTCTGAGAGATTGTTAATGTAAATTTAAAAAAATATTTGGTTAAGGATAGAACCTTAAGAAACCACTGAATTTACAGGAAATAAAGAAGAGTCCTGTCCATTGAGGACAACTTTTATACTACAATTGGAAAGGAAAGATTTAATAATCTTAAAGATGTTACCTGATATAACATAAGTGTAGAGGAAACGACCAGCATGCCAAAACTTATCAAAGGCCTTAAAATATTAAGGGGGATGCCTCAGTATCTCCGCATCTATCTAATGCACAATAAAACCTATCAGTTATTACTGTGAATAAATCAACAGTAGATTGAAATCTATATTAATGATCAGAAAGTAAATTATTAGATTCAAGATGAGAGATTAAGTATTTGTTAATTATAGACTCAAAAACTTTGCTTAAGATAGTAAGAAGACTAATGGAACAGTAATTAAACAAGTAAGATTGCCCTTCAGAATTTTTCAAAATAGAGAAAACAGCTGCCACTTAAAAACGAGACTCAGATAAGTACTTATTAAATAGTTTTGTAAGTATAGACAACAGCTTTGGAAGACACTTGAGCTAGTCTAAAGCAGCTATGTTGTCCAGACCACAAGCTGTAGAAGAGTATAAGCTGTAAATTACTTTATATACAGAAACTAGAGTGATACGAATGTCAAGCAATGAATCAACCTGCTTGTTGTCTATATCAGGTAGGATGTGATTAGTGGAATCAAAAGATGAGATCTATGAAAAGATCTTAGCAAACAACTCAGCTTTGTTTTTATGTGACGTAACAAATCTGAACCATGCAAGTGAGGCAGAAAAGCAAATTTTCCCTTATTATAGACACTGTTAAAGATCATCCAGAAGTCTTTGAAGTCTAAGTTTTTAGACCTGAGAGATTGTGACCTGAGAATATCGGGCTTTGACATTAAACAAAATCCTTTTAAAATGGTTTATAGCAATAGTAAACAGGCGCCTTTTTTATGGAGAACTGTTTTGGGTGATAGATAAGGAAGTAATGGCTACGATTGGCTGAAGGATAAAGAGAAAGGGCTCAGTCAATTTGATAAGAAATAACATCAAAAAGAGTGCAGTCTAGAGATGAAGGATAGCAATATAGAAAAAAGAGAAAGGCAATAGAGTGAAGTGGTGCTAAACGAAAGCACGTAAAAGAATAATCTGTAGATTCAAACCTAGTTTCCCGAAAAATAAATGAATTTTTATGAATACAAATGCCCAGGCCAAGCATGATACAATTAGAGTCTTACAAATTAAAGCAAGATAACCATCAAAGCTAAGATTGCAAGTTGAGAGAGCTGAACTTATATTACTCTAACAAAGAGCAAGTAGGTGAACATTGCAAGAGATAAGGCTCAACAGAAAAGTTACTTTGAAGATCACGAATACTAGTGAATGATTTAAAGAACTTGGTGATGACGATAGTTTTTTCTGCTTTATAATTTTTGATACTTTAGTTGCTTTTTAAATTGTTTAAAGAACTTAACTCAAAGCGCAGATAGTACTCGGTACACTATTTAATAGTCCAAGCAATTGCCTTATTACTTTTAATAAACCTTAAGCCATAACAAAGGGCTCCAAATGTGGCTTCAACAATGCAAACCAATATTACAAACAGGGACACGATCCATGCACAACATGGCACTGTTAGGGGTCGTCCATAAAGTACGTACGCTTTTTTTTGGCCAACACAAAACCCAATCCCCAACCCCCCCTCCCCGCAACTTGCCATACGCTTTTTTGAGTACTCTTTACCTCCCTAAAAGTACCTACGCTTTTAACCTACTAACCCAATATTTTATGATATATTTTTTAATTTAGTGTCTCCATACTTTTATAATTGACCTACTGCTCCTTTATCTTAGAAACGACATTTGCAGATCTCCTCTTCCTCTCCAAGCGTACATACTTTATGGACGATCCCTTAGTACTCTGATTTTTTACAGCTGTTGATGGAATCAACCTCTCTGAGAGTTACCAAAGAGTTCGGGTAACCTGACTGCCGGTCGATCCCAGAAGCATAAAACTAAGTTTTAGAACTACATCCTCATTAAGAGATAATAGAATGAACTGTCTAGTCACCATACAATGAGTTAAGAAGGTACAGCATTTAATATCTTAAACTGGAAACAATTTATTATAAATACATCTACACTATCCTAACAGATGATAAAGGGTGGCAAAGCTGGTAAACATAGAATCAATTTAGCCTTTTTAATCTTTGCCTAGGAGGCCTTCTAAAAGACAGTAGCCGGATGCATTTACATACATATTGCTCAACCAAGAGCCCTAAGGCAGGGTGTATGTTAACTTAGAGTTGGCTTCTCCTAGCCTTTGCCTAAAAAACCATATCCTACAATGCAGCAGGACATACA